ATTAGGTAGATGTTCAACATTAATTGAATTATATGCTGGAAATAATTTAATAAAAAATATTCGAGATATTTTTCATTTAAAAGTAAGAAGATATTTTTATATGTATTTTTTCTTTAAATTTTGTTTTTTTTTTTTTTTTTTTGAATTTTAGACATTATCAAATTTACTTATATTAGATTTATGGGGTAATCCAATATGTCATGAAGCAGAAAAATATCGTTTATTTATTATTTATCATTTGAAAGCATTACGAGCTTTTGATGGATTTGCTGTAGAAATTCAAGGTTGGATTATTTATTAATTATGATAAAGATTTTGATTTTTTTTTGTGTTTTAATATAGAAAGTGGCGAAGCTCGAGAAACATTTGGTGGCAAATTAACACCAGATTTTATTGTAGAAAAATTAGGACATAGTAATTTTTCAGGTAAATATTCATAAAATTTATATTTATAGATGTTCTTAAGAATATGACACAATTTTTAGAAATTTACTCATCGTTGTTATTCGAGTAAAGACTTATCATAAGCGAGAAAATTTATAATGGAATTTGTATTTAAATTTTTTTGCGTTGTCCAGATTGAATAGACTTTAAAAAAATCAATTAAAAAATGATTCGTTTTAAAGTTCGTCTTTTTAATAATCGCATAATAATGTCAAGGGAACAAAAAAAAGAGTCCTATATTAAAAATATACGTGTATTCATGAGGGTTTTAGTAGTACACATACTACGAAAAATAGAATTTCGGCAATAAGTAGAACAAAAGAAAATATTTTCAAAAGAAAAATCTTTATTAACAATAAATACCTTGTTGTAATGGAAGCTTTCAGAGTTTCTATTATAGGAAAGCTACTAATACAACTTGAGTTTGGGTGTTACCGAAGAAAAAACTAATACACCCATACCAACAAATAATTCATTCTATATAACTTCTAAAATCCTTTCAAACCTTATATCTGTTATTTTTCTAGAGTAGGTAAGTGAATATTGACAAATAGGTGTGTGTGATAGCTTCTAGCTCAACAGACGTTTCGATCGCTCTAGTCATTAATTATCAATGAATATTTATTTTTTTGACCAACTTCAGTTCGTAACAAGTGCTTTTCATCTCCTAATAACTCGACTTTTCGAAACCTACCATGACATCATTGAATACGTTCCTTTATTGTAAATTTTGTTCCATTTTGAATTATTTCAAAATAGAAGACGTTGAGGTTTTATTAATTGAAGAAGAAGAAGAAATCGAAAAAAAAACTAATAAGTTTCATAACCAATTATTTCTTTACAAAGTGTTTTATAAATTTACAAAAAGAAACAATTTTCTATTTATTAGAAATAAAACAACTTGAATTACCTCAATGTTCAATTCGTGGTGTTGAATTAAATATTCAATTTCTTGCACTTAAATGTGTTAATCTTGAACATAATCAATTAACAAATTTTTCCGGTCTTATTCATTTACCTAATTTAAAGGTTAATTTTAATGATTAAATAAAATATTCTTCAATTGATTTTAAATTTATTTTAGATACTTTGTTTAAATTATAATCGTATTGAAAGTGTTCTTTATCGTCCATCAAGACCTCGAGTTGATAATCGTGGAAAACCTATTATTGAAAATGTTGATAATCGAGTTGTTTTAGAAAATCTTGAAGTTCTTCATCTTGCGTAAGTATTTCTCAATAAAAAAAAAAAAGAAAAGAAAAGAAACAATTCTTATTTTTAATAAAAACTAATTTTTGCAAAAAAAAAATTTTTTTTAGTTATAACAATATAACAGATCTTGTTGCACTTCAATTGAATAAAATTCCATCATTACGATCTTTATTTCTTCAAGGTTAAATTTTTCGTTTTCTAATGAGAAAAATGAAAGAGTAATTTCTAAAAATTATTATTTTTTTTTTTTTTTAGGAAATGAAATAACAAAAGTTGAAGGTCTTGAAGCATTACGTAATTTACGTGAATTAGTCTTAGATAAAAATAAAATTCGTGTTATAACGGAAACATCATTTTTCTTTCAAACAAATCTTGTTGAATTACATTTAGAAGAAAATCGTATACGAGAATTATCTTATTTTGATCGTATGATTAAATTAGAAAAACTTTTTTTGGGTTCAAATAAAGTTCAAGTAAATATTTTATTAAATAGATAAAATTTTTTATTTTTTGAAATTTTATTTTATTTTCAAGGAAATACCTGAAATAGACAAATTAATACCACTTATTTGTCTCGGTGAATTATCTTTTATTAATAATCCGGTAAAATAAATTTTATTTTTGTTTTTAATAAAAAAGAAGGAAAAAAAATATTTGTTTATTAGGTGTCTCGTAAAACAACTTACCGTTTTTTCGTTACATATCGATTACCACAAATACAAATACTCGATGAACAACTTATTACGGAAGAAGATCGTTTTCGAGCAGAAATTTATTATGCTGAAACTGCAGTAGGTGTTTTTTGTTTTAAGATGATTAATAAGTAATCACGTTCTTGGAACACATGTTCACACCAAGAATATTAATTAATGAGTGATTGAAAAGTAGACCCTGTCGGGTTGATTTCGGATCGGATCTGACAGATTCTATTGAAAACTAATTTGATAAAATGTTCATTCGTTTTTTAGCCTCTTAAAAGAACATGCAGAAATCTGATATTATTGTGTTAGATTCAGAATTTTGTGGCCTTTTCAAATATGAATTCAGAATCTTTGTAAGACATTTTAGAGATCGGTAAATTAAGCTCGGACGAACCTCAACGCACCAAAAGTTCGTCCAAGTCGATGCAAAAACTATTTCGATTATAGCGAACTCAAGGGCAAATATTTTCCTATATAATGATATATTCATGAATAGTTTGCTGCAAGTCATTTGTTAACTGGGAGTATATTGACAAGGAATAGTATGTCAATTCAGGCAATTTTCTCGATTTTTATGGAAAACAGATTTGCAAAGGGAGCTCAACCATTCCTAAATGATTATTTTGAAACTCTTGATTCTTACATTACATTTTAGAGAACTATCTCGCCGTTAATTATATGCACGAAATTGGTAATATTACAAGTGTAGTATAGTAAACTATTGCTGCTAAAAAATGCTAATTTTCTCCAGCTAAACTTAATTTGCGCGCGTCTTAAAGATCGGCTCATAACTTCTAAACCAGAAGTCCTAGAGGAATTTTGAAACTATCGCCAGAAACAATACAAAATCTTGATTCTGCTTCAATGTTTTTGAATTTTAGCAAGTTTCTTTAAGAGACTGAAAAATAAATGAATATTTCATCAAATTACTTTTCGATTATCTATTATTAGGTTTTCTGATTGTGTAAGAAAGATTTTCTTTTCTTGCTTGTTTTATGTTTGATCTAATTTTCACATCATAGCTAAGCATTTGTTGAAATATAGAACACATTTTATATGTTTTATCTTTCTGAAGAACTTCTATTTTTCAGTTGATTGAATGTATCGACATAGGAATTTTCATATATATTGTTGATTCTCATTTAAAGAAAAGTAATCCATTTATTCACTGAGAATTATCTTATGTTTCACATAGTTATCATAATAAGATGATAGATATTTATAATATTGATAAAATAAAAATCGAAAAAAAAAAATCTGAAAGATGAATGAAAAAAAAATGCAGACCTCTAATTCCATTTCTAAATATAGTTTTCGATCAGAAGTGTGGAGGATGGGAATAGGTAAGTCCACTTACTTTTCATGCTGTATATGCGAAAATTTTGAGTGACTTCCAAAAACTATCTGGCAACAACTAGTAGACATTTTTGCATGCTATTTTCACCTCTCGTGCTCATGAAACTCGTCGAAAACTATATTTTGAAAGATCTGTTGGTATATCAACCCTGAAAACTCATATTATATTCTCTATAGTTCTGAGCTGGATGTGGGTTGATAATTTTAATTAATTACACTAAAAATTTTATACATCAATATTCTTCCTATTCATCTAAGAGCCAAGGATAGTTCTTCGCACGAACAGTAGAACTCGGACTCTTGCTCACATGATAGTTAGTCTTTATATATGTCATTTCGGGATAATCTGTGAACAAAAACTGGAAATTTATTATTATTTAAGATATTCTCTATGATTACATGAATAAAGACAGAAAATATCTATCACAATAAATTGGTTGGTATCATATAGTCAGAATTTTTCCAAGTATTTAATGTGGAGAATAAGATTTCGCCCATTTCTCATAGTTCTGTATCATGATGCGAGCAAACCTCCATTACTCAAATGTACAGTCTAAATATCCGCGTAATCGTTCAACACATTCATACTTCATGGTGTGTGTGGACTTACAATTATACCTCCGACAAATGAAGATAATCAGTTCACTTACGATAAACGGAGTAATTATTCATTTCTCTTTCATGTAGAATCTCAAATATGTAGTAAATAAATGTTGTGTCTAAGTACTTTTCAATTTCTGATATGTTTTCAAACGTAATAAATATTTCTTATCTTTTCAGCAACCGCCTGGAGTACCAGGAACTGTAAACGAAATATTTCCTGGTTTATTGACTGCTGCACAACAACAGCAACAACAACAACAACAACAACAACAGCAACAGCAACAACAACCAATGCGAATCAATCAAATAGCTTATAACGATGGTTATGGTACTTCAAATTTAATTGATCAAAGTAAAAAATAAAAATAAATCTATTTATAGATTTAATCTTTTGTTTTTTATTTTAGTTCGTCATCGTCAAATGCAGATACGCATAGCAGCCGCTAATATAAGTAATCCAAATAATAATTTAAATGGAAAACTTAATAACACACGTTTTTTACCTAATGATCGACAATAAAAATTGTAAAAAAAACAAAAACAGAATAAATCTTGTTTTATTTTCTTTTAAATATAAATTTAAAAAAAACAAAGAAAGCATAATAATAATAACTCTTGTATCTAAGCAGATAAAATAAATAAATAAATAAAAAAAAGATTCTTTATTTTTTTTTCTCCATATGCATGCTGCTCATCGTTTTTATTTTCTTTGTAAAAATTGTCTTCTTATCATGTATATTCGAAAATAAAAATGAACAAAATTTATTTGATGAAATAAATCGACAACGAAAAAATTTTGGTTTATCAAATGTTGAAATACATTTAACATTACAATTAGCTGCAGAAAAACGTTGTTCAAATCAAGAACAATTAATTGAAACATATCAAAGAATGTTATCAAATACATATAGAGATGATGATTGGCCAAGACAAGAACAACTTGAGAAAATTTTTTCTCATGGTAGAAAATAATTTATTATATAAGGAACACTTTAAAAGTTCTTTTCTTGCCAGCTCTTTAAGCAATTATTAGTTTTAGTCTATTACTTCTCATGTAGAATACACTTGTGCATTTGATTCAACCAGGTCTTATGTAGTTAATATTTTAGTTTTGAAAGTAAAAAGAAATAATATGGGATCAGATCTGGAAATATACTAGATTTGGATGCAATTTCATATGATATTCTGCCAAAAAATCTGCGGATGTTCCAGGCTTTTCGTGGTCTTGCATTTCCATTGTGAAGACTTAGCCCTTACAGACCGATCTTTTATTTCTCTAATGACGCAGTTGAAAGCTTGTACTAGGTAGCTATTGACAGGGTAACTTTCGTTTACTAGATCATAATAGTATGAACTTAGTAGAACTAGATTTCCTGAAAAAAATTGAGGCGTTCCATTTGTCTGACGAGAAAAGTCCTCCAATTGTTCAATTGTTTTTTTGAGTCGAGACTATGTGCATTATATAGACCCAAATAAACTATGAATACCTTGAAAAAAGTCTGCGCCCTTAGTTTATTGCTACGAAGATACTACACCTTTATGGTATTTTTTAAATGAATGTCATGTAAACAGAAAAATTGATTTTCCAATTTCGACTTGAAACTTTGCATAGAGACGGACCTTGACAAAAATAGATTTTTGTAAATGTTCCAGATTTTGTCACTGTTCCCCTTCTAAGACACAACAATGGTAACAGCATGTCTTTTACGTCACTCATATAAATCAGCAGATTTGATGCCTGAAGCTTTTACAATGAACTACTCTTGCTAGGTCATATCTCTATGCAAAATTTCAAGCCGAAATTCGAAAATCAGTTTTTATGTTTTCATGACATTTCTTTAAGAAATACCATAAAAGTGTAATATCTTCGTAACAATAACCTAAGGACACGAACTCTTTTCAGAGTATTCGTAACTAATTTGGATCTACATAATGCACATAGTCTCGACTGAAAAAAACCGATTGCACAATTGGAGGATTTTTTCCGTAAATTCTTGTTTCGATGAACTTTGATTGTCCATGAATTAGTTTATCACATTTCAACTTTCGACTTCTCTATGATTCTTTTACCTTTATGATAAAACTATGATCTATCACTAATAATAATGTAGAATACAAGATGGAAATTGGTCTGTCGAAATCTATTCAGTCAATACCGACTTAATCGAATATAAAACTTTGTAGAACTGTAAATAGACAGGTATAATTGAAATAACCATGATGCTTGAAGTGTCCTCTATTCATTCGTATGTTCAATTATTGCTGGAACATCATTAAGAAGTGTCTCCGGTTACATCACTCAAACAACCGTCTCAATGGATTACATCTTCAATACGACACAGTAATCTGCTGAAATTAGTGAAATAAATTGATTAGTAAATGATCTAAAAGTGTCAAATTCCCTCATGCTCATATTAAATAAGCATAGCTTTTCGTGTCAGTTAAACAAATTTTCTTGTCATGTATAAAACACACTTAGAAAGTGTTCTTGTAAGAATTCACAACGCCTATGGAAAATGTTTTATCACTAGTCCTTCTGAGAGAAATGCAAAAAATACAATAAGGTTCAAAATTTCTAAGTCTGAAATTTTGCATGTCGTCCTAAATATGTTTAAACATTATACTAGAATAGTTGCACTGAAATTATAACTTTTCGAAGAGCTGAACAAAAAAACACTTTTCGAATGTCCTATGTAAATAAATTTCTTTGATTAATCTTTATTATAGTCAATGAAAGAATTTATCTCAATGGTATTAATATTCACAATGATATTTTTCATAAATTTCATCTTATACCAAATACATATCAAAGAAATTTTATTTATCTTGGTATTTCTTTACATGAATATAAAAATTTTTCTGCTCAATGTATTATTTATGGTAAATTGAATAATTCTATTTCAAATCATCGTCGACTTATACGTCTTCTTTATATTCTTATTGGTTGTGGAATATTTTTGCTTAGTTTAATTGTTTGTAGTATTATGAATGATCAACGACAAATAAAATTAAAACAACAATTAGAACAACAAGAAATAATTGATAATAGACATACAATTGTTCCGAAAAATTCAATGAATGTATTGACTGATAATGATCGAGGGTCATCATCATTACGACGAACAGATATTAATCGAATAACAATGGCACAATTAGGTTCTACAGTTGATGAACGTCCATCAGCTGTTCATAGTTTTTTTTCAAAGTCCTAAATAAAGTGTAGTTCGATAGAATTTAAAAAATTTTTTATTTTAAATAAGAAAATCATCTCGATTGACAAGTCTTATGATCACGTCTCAAATTTCAATGTGAATAGTTACAATTAGACCTGAGGGAAAATTCGAGGCATGTGTTTATTTAAAGACTTTGATTCGAAAATTGAATGTCATTGACACGAGTCGTCTATTTAAAAAAGCAACAGTTAATAATTCAACATGAAAATCAGTTTCAGAAAAAAAATCGATGATTTTTTGCAGAAAGAATATTCAACCAATGATCTTAATTCATATTAATCTCTTAATAAACTTGCTAGAAAAATCATATATGTTTCTCCTATATCAACACTGATTGAACATGTGTTTTCTCAAAGTAGTTTTTTAAAAGGTATCCTCCCCCTTTCCGTGGTTTCTGGGGAACGACTCATTAGGAAAAACTAGAAATTTTCAGAATAGGTAGATGTCATCGAGTAGAGCAGGAGTTGCCATAGACTCAAAGTTTTCGGATCCTGTCTTTCATGAGATACTAGGACCGCAATGGTCTCTATTTCTCTGAGATGCTATATTTGATCAAACTAAAAAAATTTTTTTACAGACACTAAACACTGTTTGAGGTGGATATCTTTTTTATTTTTTACCCTTCGAATAAAAAGCCAAAATATGGAAGATACCTTGAGCAACACATGGTTCTTTTTTTGAACAGAGCTTTTTTTGTAAGTGCCACCAAAAATCAGCAGAACAATATTCTTTGAAACGAAAAAAAAAACCACTCATTCTAAATAGTGTATACTCTATGTGCAAAACAAATTCCAACTCGATCGGACGCGTAGTTGGTCGAAGAAACGGGAACATTTCTGGGCTTTTTTTTAATGAACAAGTTGGTTTGAGAAAAACACGAAATAATGTACAGTTTTCGATAATTTGATTTCTTATCGAATTTTTTAAAGTTTACAAATAATTTTCGGATCTCAAAATGTATACAGTAGGTAGATACTACTTCAGACTATACAATGGCTACAAAAAATTTGTTTTTTTCTTGTACATAAAAATTTAGAACAAGATATTTGTGTCATGAGAAATTTGTTATTAACGTTCTTTACCGAAATAAACAGGAAAAAAAAAGAAAAATTATAAAAAGACTTGACTCACCCAATCCTGAATTTTTAATTATTGTGTCACGCAAGTTATAAAATGTAGATGGATTATAGATATGTGTAGAATAGCTGATGAAATAAGTAATCCTTATTAGATGAGGATCCGATGAACTCGAGTTAAAGAATTTGTTGAGTTCATTAATCTTGTCTAATGCATTATTTTGAAGAATATACTTTTTATAATTATATGAATATTCAAAATTCAAGAAGCATTGACTTCTTGTGTTAAGTTGAGCCACGAAAACTTTTGTTTTTATTTTGTACATAATATATTTTTTTTAATTTAAGAAAATAATAAATACAAATAAAATCGTTCATTTGAACAAACATTATATTTCATTCATTATTATTCTGAAAATTTATATTTCTGTTTATTATTTTCAATATTTCTATGATATTTAAATGGTATTGGTTTTATAAGTGATGATAAATGAGAATTTGTGTCATTATTAGTTATTGTATTATATGTTTGATATAATTGATCATTTGTTGTTGATGAAAATGATTGATAATCTTTTGGTAAATTTATAATTGATTCATGATATTTAGGTAATAATTCTAAATGAGATGATGGCATTGATATTCTTTGTTTAGTATTTTTACGTGTAGATGATGACATTGAATTTGATAATGTATGAGAAGAATTTAATGAATATGGTGTTGATGGTAATGTATGACTACGTGATAAACGTGTTTTAGCTTGTGTTTTTGTCATTATACTTTCAACAAGTATAGGATTTGTTTGAGTTATTAATTTAGGTGTTAGTAATGGTATTTCAATTGATAATGATGAAGAATTTTTTTTATGTCGTTCTCGATATGTTTCAATTATTTGTAATATAATAATGAATATAATTGTAGCCATATAAAAAATAAATATACTTATAGTAATATAAACAAGTGAAAAATATTCTGGATGATCTTCAGCTTGTATTACACAAAGAATAGCTATACCAGCAAGAATAAGATTAAATAGTCCAAGTATATAAAGTGAACGTTGAGCCATCATTCTTTTAATATATTGATAAATTAATGATATAGTATTTATTCTATTATTTAAAGTATATATTTTAATAATATGAGGATTCGATAAATATGATAATGATTTTCTGTGTCGTGTTTTTAATGGATAGACTTCTTCATGAATTGATAAAATACTTTCCATTGCGTCTTTTTTTTTTTTTTGTTTTTTGTTTTTGTCTTAGCTTCTTATCTTCCTTTTTTTTTATATATATGTGATCTTTTCTACTATAGCTATAGAAGTAGCATCAAATATCAAATAGATCGAATAGCATCAAAAAAAAAATGTTCTTATGAGACCTATCGTCGTTGTTTCATTGTCTGTTTCCCATGCGTAATACATTATTCGACGTTCATCATCATGCTATGCACATACATATTGAATCAAATGTAAGTTGGGTGCCTTTCGCTGCTTTCTCTTTCTTTTCTAGTTCCCAGTATTGTATATAGAGCTTCTAAAAATTCATTAAATGACGTCCTAGGATGTAGAAGACATCCATGTCGCTTTTGTTATTACTGTCGTTATAAAGCAACCAAGGAGATAAAATAAAAGAAGAGAAAATATTTATGAAATAAATCAAATCGAAAGTTTTTCTTTTCTTTGTTTTTAATTATTATTATCTTACTTAATACGTGATTGAATTAATTTTTAATACAATATAATAAAATTATTCAAATAATGAGAAAATGATTACTTAATCGATAGACAAAAATATTTTGAATTTGTAGTCTATAATATTAGATGAAAAATTTAATTGTTATTTTTCTTCCTGGGTGGATTCACATGAATAAGGGAAATTGATTTTTTTTTTAATCTGTATCAGCAACTATCTCCTATGACATCATTGACACAAAACTTGTTTTTCTATATAAAGCAAGATAGTATGGTAGCTAGAAGGTTGAGATACATCATGTCCTATGAAAGATCGTTTATATTAACCTAGAAGCCTCTTCATTTCTCTAAGACATTAAGAAGTGATGTTACTGGCATATATCACTCACAATTCTTTAATTACTTCTTTCTTTCTCGCATAGCTTCGGATGCAACATATTTCAAGTACAAACAGTAAAAATCAACAGTTCTAGACACCGCATGCGTATTCGCGTTTCATGCCAATTATCAACTTATTTCGTCATATCTTGATTTAGTGGGTGTAAAACACACACACATTCTATTCCTTAAACAAAAAAAAAAAAGAATTGCTTGATAGAAGAGTATAATAACACAGTCTATATGTTTCGCTCGACAAACGCGTAATTGACACCAACTATCTAATACACATAACTATTATCGAGACTAAAAAAAGATTCATGGGTAGAGTTCTAATTACATTGTTTTGTTTTGTTCTTTTTTTTTTGATTTTTTAAAGAAAGCAAAACAAAAAGTTTTAATATATTATCATGCTTCGTCATTTAACATTAACGATTATTATTTTAATACAATTTACAGAACAAGATTTAACACAACAGGTAAATCATATAAATTATTTTTTGATTCACAAGACTCAATATAAATAGAAAGATAAATAAAAAAAACACGGTTTAAATCGATATAAAAAAATGTCAGGTGGTTATTTTTCATGTAGAAATTTGATAAAATGTATTTGTTTTCAAAGTTAAATCGAGTAATTTTTATCAAATGCAAGAAAAAAATACAGAAAAAGAATTTCGCTTTTTCTTTTTGTTATTCTAGAACGATACAATTATTGAAACAACAACAACATTCAAATTATCAGTTAATGAAAAACTGAAGGTATGATAAAAAAAGAAGAGAACTTTTTCTTTGTTTTTTTTTTGTATTTTCTAATTCAAAAAGATTGATATATAGAATGAGATTAGTTATATTAAATTTCAGAAATATCTCAAAGCAGCATTATCGAAACACAAAGTATGTATGTATTAGATAAAAATCATCTTTGCATGTGATAGATGATTAAAGTTCGACAGTTGGTTAGATTGACATCAGTATGTCATGACAGTTGGCATGCGTATATATTTATCATTAGAGTTTGTAACTTAAAAATGAATAGAAATATTTAATAGTATAAATAGGAAGTGTTATTATCTGAAATTAAAAAATTTAATCTTTATGAAAAGTTATCTTAGACGTTTGAAAGATTAACACGACTTGAACTCTATTGTTTATACACTAGAAGAAAATTTTTCTATATTTACCATATTCAATCGTGGAGAGATATCGAATATATATTTTTGAAGAGTAACATGTAAAATATCAGTCAAGAAAAAAAAAATTTTATGCAATTTGCATGAATTCTAAGAGAGTACTACATCGATAAAAATTTTGTCAAAGTCAGTTTTTTTTACTTTTTCTCTATAAAGTATCACTTTCTCAGTATTTTGTGAATATATCTCTTAGTTGTTGATGATTTGATTTGAATTCTTTTTTGCAAAAAATAGCCTATGCAATTCGTTACAAAATCCAATAAAAAATAGCTCTTCAAAAGGGTAACTTACAATGGTTTGAAACCTGTATCCTCAAGAGAAGAGAAATAATTAGTTTTTTAAAAGAAAAAAAAGTGTCTGTGAAAGTGGATCTTTTTGGAGTATAGTTTTGCTGATTAGATATGGTTTCCAGGCTATCCTTTTGAAGAGCTGTTTTTGTTGAATTTTATAGAGAATTACATAGGCTATCTTTTGCAAAAAAAGAATTCAAATCAAACCATCAAAACCCTAAGAGAGATATTCACTAAATCGGCTTGTCCATGTAACTCCGTAACAGCGTTACGTTTTTGCTCATTTTGTTTTGGCCATAACTTTGAAAGGACAAGTCGTAGAGAGGCTAGCGACATCTTAAATTGAAGA